CACATCGGCTTCGCCCTTTACCCACTAAAGCGAAGGCCTTAAAGGGCGAAGCTTATACGACATAGAACGTTGGTTACGTACTGTAACCCCAGATTCTATGAGTATAAGCGTAGCCCTTTAAGGCCTTCGCTTTAGTGGGTAAAGGGCGAAGCCGATGTGGTCCTCGCCTCACTGGGTCCATTCGAACACAGTAAGAAGCGGAAGCTTGCCCAAAAAACGTCTTGTCACTCAGCTCCCCGTGTGCATAACTACGCATCGCGTAATTATGTGCCATGCACAGACGCATGTTGTGTAGCTATGCGTTCTGACAAAGCATGAATGCCCCGGAAAACTTCAACGGGAAGAAGAAGTTGAAAAGAGGTGGGGGGGGGGGGCATGAACCAACTGGTTCATGGCTGAACAGTATAACAGATTAATGTCCATGAATTGATTATTGATCAAATGAACTGATTGGTAACAATAATCATGAACTGATTAATGACAATAGAACCAAAATCACAGACACGACTTGTGACTGAAAACAACATCTCACACTGTAATGCATGCAGACAGGAGTGAGCTTAAACAGAGTTCCATGAGAACAATAATATTCATTCTGTTAGAGCACTAAGGACAGAATGTGTCATGGAACGAGCCGTTACATCACGTAGGTAAAAGCGAATAAATGAGCAGGGTGTTGACCATGCAGCCGCAGTGCAAATGTCCTGCATTGACATACCATTATGCAGAGCAGTCCAAGATGCGATACCCCTGGTCGAGTGTGCTTAGAGGTTGACAGGAGGCTCTAAATCTGATGCTCTGTAGGCTTCAGAAAAGGCCTCACACAGCCAGTGTGACAAGCGCTGGATGGATAACGGCGACCTGCAGAAGCATCTCAATAATGCACAAACAATTGTTGAGTTTGAAACGCATTGCAGCTGTGCGCGTTATGTAACACGTCAACGCCCGCACCGGGCAGAGAAGATGAAAAGATGCTTCCTCTTCTGATCTGTGGGGGGGAGAAGACCCCTCCAACGATATCACTCTTGATTTAAAAGAGCTCGTGATGTTTTAGGCATAAAAGCTGGGTTGGTCTTAAATCAGCTGAGCTGCCCGTCAGCCTAAATTCTAAGGCATGACGAAGCAACAGAGAGGGCAGATAATTACTTACCCTCTTAGCGGGTGTTAAAACCAGCAGCAG